CAGGACAAGTATAATGTCTTCACTTGACGAGCTATGTGTGACAGGGCAAGAATAATGTCTTCACTTGACGAGCTATGTGTGACAGGGCAAGTATAATGTCTTCACTTGACGAGCTATGTGTGACAGGGCAAGTGTAATGTCTTCACTTGACGAGCTAGGTGTGACAGGGCAAGTGTAATGTCTTCACTTGACGAGCTAGGTGTGACAGGGCAAGTATAATGTCTTCACTTGACGAGCTATGTTTGACAGGGCAAGTGTAATGTCCTCACTTGACGAGCTATGTGTGACAGGGTAAGTGTAATGTCTTCACTTCACGGGCTAGGTGTGACAGGGCAAGTATAATGTCTTCACTTGACGAGCTATGTGTGACAGGGCAAGTAAAATGTCTTCACTTGACGAGCTATGTGTGACAGGATAAGAGTAATTTCTTCACTTGACGAACTATGTGTGACAGGGCAAGCCTAATGTCTTCACTTGACAAGCTATGTGTGACAGGGTAAGTATAATGTCTTCACTTGACGAGCTATGTGTGACAGGGCAAATATAATGTCTCCACTTGACGAGCTACGTGTGACAGGGCAAGTGTAATGTCTTCACTTGACGAGCTAGGTGTGACAGGGCAAGTGTAATGTCTTCACTTGACGAGCTAGGCGTGACGGGGCAAGTGTAGTGTTTTCACTTGACGTGCTAGGTGTAACAGGGCAAGTGTAATGTCTTCACTTGACAAGCTATGTGTGACAGGGCAAGTGTAATGTCTTCAGTTGACGAGCTATGTGTGACAGGGCAAGTATAATGTCTTCACTTGACGTGCTATGTGTGACGCGGCAAGTATAATGTCTTCACTAGACGTGCTAGGTGTGACAGGGTAAGTGTAATGTCTTCAATTGTCGAACTATGTGTGACGGTGTAAGTATAATGTCTTCACTTGACGAGCTATGTGTGACAGGGCAAGTATAATGTCTTCACTTGACGAGCTATGTGTGACAGGGCAAGTTTAATGTCTTCACTTGACGTGCTAGGTATGACAGGGTAAGTGTAATGTCTTCACTTGACGAGCTATGTGTGACAGGGTAAGTGTAATTTCTTCACTTGACAAGCTATGTCTGACAGGACAAGTATAATGTCTTCACTTGACGAGCTATGTGTGACATGGCAAGTGTAATGTCTTCACTTGACGAGCTATGTGTGACAGGGCAAGTGTAATGTCTTCACTTGACGAGCTATGTGTGACAGGGTAAGTGTAATATCTGCACTTGACGAGCTATGTGTGACGGAGCAGGTGTAATGTCTTCATTTGACGAGCTATGTGTGACAGGGTAAGAATAATGTCTTCACTTGACGAGCTATGTGTGACAGGGCAAGTATAATGTCTTAACTTGACGAGCTATGTGTGACAGGGCAAGTGTAATGTCTTCACTTGACGAGCTATGTGTGACAGGGCAAGTGTAATATCTGTACTTGACGAGCTATGTGTGACAGGGCAAGTATAATGTCTTCACTTGACGAGCTATGTGTGACAGGGAAAGTGTAATGTCTTCACTTGACGTGCTAGGTGTGGCAGGGCAAGTATAATGTCTTCACTTGACGAGCTATGTGTGACAGGGCAAGTGTAATGTCTTCACTTGACGTGCTAGGTGTGAGAGGGCAAGTGTAATGTCTTCACTTGACGAGCTATGTGTGACAGGGCAAAGATAATGTCTTCACTTGACGTACTATGTGTGACGCGGCAAGTATAATGTCTTCACTGGACATGCTAGGTGTGACAGGGCAAGTATAATATCTCCACTTGACGAGCTATGTGTGACAGGACAAGTATAATGTCCTACTTGACGAGCTATGTGTAACAGGGCAAGTATAATGTCTTCACTTGACGAGCTATGTGTGACAGGGCAAGTATAATGTCTTCACTTGACGAGCTATGTTTGACAGGGGTAAGTATAATGTCTTCACTTGACGAGCTATGTGTGACAGGGCAAGTGTAATGTCTTCACTTGACGAGCTATGTGTGACAGGAACAAGTATAATGTCTTCACTTGACGAGCTATGTGTGACAGGGCAAGAATAATGTCTTCACTTGACGAGCTATGTGTGACAGGGCAAGTATAATGTCTTAACTTGACGAGCTATGTGTGACAGGGCAAGTGTAATGTCTTCAATTGACGAGCTAGGTGTGACAGGGCAATTGTAATGTCTTCACTTGACGAGCTAGGTGTGACAGGGCAAGTATAATGTCTTCACTTGACGAGCTATGTTTGACAGGGCAAGTGTAATGTCCTCACTTGACGAGCTATGTGTGACAGGGTAAGTGTAATGTCTTCACTGGACGGGCTAGGTGTGACAGGGCAAGTATAATGTCTTCACTTGACGAGCTATGTGTGACAGGGCAAGTAAAATGTCTTCACTTGACGAGCTATGTGTGACAGGGTAAGTGTAATTTCTTCACTTGACGAACTATGTGTGACAGGGCAAGCCTAATGTCTTCACTTGACGAGCTATGTGTGACAGGGTAAGTATAATGTCTTCACTTGACGAGCTATGTGTGACAGGGCAAATATAATGTCTTCACTTGACGAGCTACGTGTGACAGGGCAAGTGTAATGTCTTCACTTGACGAGCTAGGTGTGACAGGGCAAGTGTAATGTCTTCACTTGACGAGCTAGGCGTGACGGGGCAAGTGTAATGTGTTCACTGGACGAGCTATGTGTGATAGGGCAAGTGTAATGTCTTCACTTGGCGAGCTATGTGTGACAGGGCAAGTGTAATGTCTTCACTTGACGTGCTAGGTGTGACGGTGCAAGTGTAGTGTTTTCACTTGACGAGCTAGGTGTAACAGGGCAAGTGTAATGTCTTCACTTGACGAGCTATGTGTGACAGGGCAAGTGTAATGTCTTCAGTTGACGAGCTATGTGTGACAGGGCAAGTATAATGTCTTCACTTGACGTGCTATGTGTGACGCGGCAAGTATAATGTCTTCACTAGACGTGCTAGGTGTGACAGGGTAAGTGTAATGTCTTCAATTGTCGAACTATGTGTGACGGGGTAAGTATAATGTCTTCACTTGACGAGCTATGTGTGACAGGGCAAGTATAATGTCTTCACTTGACGAGCTATGTGTGACAGGGCAAGTTTAATGTCTTCACTTGACGCTAGGCTAGTGTAATGTCTTCACTTGACGAGCTATGTGTGACAGGGTAAGTGTAACAGGCTATGTCTGACAGGACAAGTATAATGTCTTCACTTGACGAGCTATGTGTGACAGGGCAAGTGTAATGTCTTCACTTGACGAGCTATGTGTGACAGGGCAAGTATAATGTCTTCACTTGACGAGCTATGTGTGACATGGGCAAGTGTAATGTCTTCACTTGACGAGCTATGTGTGACAGGGCAAGTGTAATGTCTTCAGCTTGACAGGGGTACAGGGTGTGACGTAATGTCTTCACTTGACGAGCTATGTGTGACAGGGCAAGTGTAATGTCTTCACTTGACGAGCTTCACTTGTGTGACAGGGCAAGTGTGACAGGGCAATAATGTCTTCACTTGACGAGCTATGTGTGACAGGGCAAGTGTAATGTCTTCACTTGACGAGCTATGTGTGACAGGGCAAGTAAGTGTAATGTCTTCACTTGACGGGCTAGGTGTGACAGGGCAAGTATAATGTCTTCACTTGACGAGCTATGTGTGACAGGGCAAGTATAATGTCTTCACTTGACGAGCTATGTGTGACAGGGCAAGTGTAATGTCTTCACTTGACGAGCTATGTGTGACAGGGCAAGTATAATGTCTTCACTAGACGAGCTATGTGTGACAGGGCAAGTATAATGTCTTCACTTGACGAGCTATGTGTGACAGGGCAAATATAATGTCTTCACTTGACGAGCTACGTGTGACAGGGTAAGTGTAATGTCTTCACTTGACGAGCTAGGTGTGACAGGGCAAGTGTAATGTCTTCACTTGACGAGCTAGGCGTGACGGGGCAAGTGTAATGTCTGCACTTGACGAGCTATGTGTGACAGGGCAAGTGTAATGTCTTCACTTGACGAGCTATGTGTGACAGGGCAAGTGTAATGTCTTCACTTGACGTGCTAGGTGTGACGGTGCAAGTGTAGTGTCTTCACTTGACGTGCTTGGTGTAACAGGGCAAGTGTAATGTCTTCACTTGACGAGCTATGTGTGACAGGGCAAGTGTAATGTCTTCACTTGACGTGCTATGTGTGACGCGGCAAGTATAATGTCTTCACTAGACGTGCTAGGTGTGACAGGGTAAGTGTAATGTCTTCAATTGTCGAACTATGTGTGACGGGGTAAGTATAATGTCTTCACTTGACGAGCTAGGTGTGACAGGGCAAGTATAATGTCTTCACTTGACGAGCTATGTGTGACAAGACAAGTATAATGTCTTCACTTGACGTGCCAGGCGTGACAGGGCAAGTGTAATGTCTTCACTTGACGAGCTATGTGTGACAAGACAAGTATAATGTCTTCACTTGACGAGCTATGTGTAACAGAGCAGGTATAATGTCTTCACTTGACGAGCTATGTGTGACAGGGCAAGTATAATGTTGTGTATTTGAATCTTATACACAAGGCCGTGGCCGAACAGAACACAAAATACCATGACTTCTACGTTGAGCGTTTACTCAGGAAGTGGGGGTTACAAGCAGGGGTCCCCAAGGGACGAAACTCTAATCAGCTTGCCGCTACCGTCACATAAGGATGCAGGAGTTGTCTCCCATACATGTATCTGCCACACAAGCCCATACACTACACCATTCCCCCCTAAGTTTTCACCGCTGGAAACTTTTTGGTTGCTCCTACAAAATTGCAAGAAAATTTAACACAACTGGAATATTGAAAACTGACTAGAAGCAAACTCTTCCATTTGAACAAATTAAAGTCTTTAGCAGTAAACTGAAATGTCCATATTCTTACTTTGAAAGGAAAATAGCCTAATTTGGGCGCTAATATTTACTGATAACACTGACAACACATTTACAGTCTTTTCACTTCTCACACTCATATCGAACTGGAGGACGTCGATCTCGGGTAGGGTAACGCCTCTCCTTTAGTTCTTCTGCATCCGACACCTGCTTCTGGTTGACTTCACTTTCCACTTTTGGTTCTGTCAACCCCTTAGATCCCACAAGAACACATGGTTTCTGTGCCATCACTGTGCTTTCTGCTGATCCCAGAAACACTGACATCTCCGGGCTACCTTGTACTGACTGTCGTGAAACTTCCAGACGTGGTCTCATCTGGTCAACATGTCTCTTCCACACCTGTTGTCCGACGGAGACATGATAATTCCTATCACCCAGTCGTTCCAAAACTGTCCCCTGTACCCATCTTGAGCCTTGAACTCCAAAGTTCAAAACAAAGACAGCTTGTCCCACATTGAAGAATCTTGGCACTTCAGTTTCTGCATCATCATTTTTTATCATCAATCCTTCTCGTGTCGGTCTCAACGCTGATAACCTAGTTCGTAATGAGCGCCTCATGAGCAACTCAGCTGGGGTCTTCCCTGTTGCAGCATGGACAGTCGTTCTGTATGAGAATAAGTACCTCTGCAGTTTGTCATGAACATCACCTGTTTGGTTTTTCATTTTCTTTAGTGCCATCTTGAAAGATTCCACAGCTCTCTCGGCTTGTCCATTAGTAGCTGGGTGGTTTGGCGCTGTCCTAGTGTGACGAATGTTGTTCCTCCTCAAGAATGTCTGGAATTCTCCAGAGGTAAACTGTGCCCCATTGTCGGATACAATGTGCTCTGGAAGACCAAATGTTGCGAAGATTTTTCTGAGATGCTTGATAGTGATTGTGGCTGTGGTTAACGATAATGGAATAACTTCCATCCATTTGGAATGTGCATCCACCACGACTAAGAAGGAGTGTCCTTGGAATGGTCCGGCAAAGTCGATATGAAGTCGTGACCATGGCGATGATGGCCACTTCCAACTTGTCGGCGGAGCTGCTGCAGGTTGATTTGCTATCTCCTGGCAATCAAGACATTGTCTCACCTTTTCCTCAATCTGACTGTCTAGTCCTGGCCACCACATGATTGATCTGGCCACCGACTTCATTCTGACCATTCCTGAATGTTCACCATGCAGCTCTTCCAACAGTGCCTCTCTGAAGTCACTTGGGATAACTACTCTTGTGCCCCATAAGACAACACCTTGCTCCACACTCAGTTCCAATTTTCTCTGGAAATATGGCTTCAAGTCTGTTTGATCTCCCTCAATATACTGTGGCCATCCTTCCAGTGTGAGCAATCGAACTTGTCGTAACACTGGGTCTTTCCCAGTTCCCATAGCAACTTGCCTTGCAGTGATAGGCAATTCTTCGTCAAACCTATTGATCAGAAGGATCAACTCACTGTTGTGATCTCCACTGTCATCTTGCTCTGATATGAGGGGCAGTCGTGACAACCCATCAGCTGGAGCATTCTGCTTAGAGGTTCTGTATTCAATCTCGTAGTTGAATGAAGCAAGTATCAGTCCCCATCTTTTGATGCGCGATGCAGCCATCACTGGAGTTTCCTTTGAAGGCGAGAACAATCTCAGTAATGGACGATGATCTGTCACCAGCGTGAAATGACGTCTCAGCAGGTATTGTCTGAATTTTGACACTCCAAAGACAATGGCAAGTCCTTCTTTTTCCAACTGTGAGTAGTTTTGTTCTGTGCTCGTCAGTTTTCGAGAAGCGTATGCCACAGGTCTCTCTTCCGAATTGATGCGGTGCTGCAGCACAGCTCCAACTCCGTATGGTGAAGCATCACAGGATAGTACCAAAGGTTTATCCAAACTGTAGTGCACCAGGAAGGTATCGTTGATTAAGAACTCTTTTGATCCCTGGAATGATTTTTGTTCCTTCTTTGACCAGTACCAGTCCTTGTCCTTCTTCAGAAGATCATACAGTGGTGCCACTGTACTTGCAAGGTTAGGCATGAACTTTGCATAGTGATTCAGCATTCCCAGATATGACCTAAGTTCAGACACATTCTTGGGTTCTGGTGCTTGTTGGATTGCCCTGACTTTTTCTTCGGTTGGATGTATTCCTTCCTTATCCACTTTGAAACCAAGGAACTCCACCTGTTTCAGGAAAAAACGTGCACTTGATCTGTCTCAGTTTCAGTCCTGCTTTTTGTAGTACTCCTAGTACTGCCTTCAGGTTGGACATATGTTGTCGCTTGTTGTGGCCAGTGACACATATGTCATCCATGAACACGACCACTCCTTTCAGCCCTTTGAGAACCATCTCAATTGTCCGCTGGAAGAGTGCTGGTGCTGTGCTCACACCATATGGTAAACGTTTGAACTGATAAAGCCCTTTGGAAGTGTTGATAGTAGTCAGTCTTCTTGACTTCTCATCAAGTTCCAACTGCTGATAAGCATGTTTCAAGTCCAATTTGGTGAATTCCTCACCTCCATTCAAATTGGCTAACAGCTCTTCCACCTTGGGAATTGGGTAAGTCTCCACTTGTAGAAACCTGTTGAGAGTTGTTTTGTAGTCCCCACACAGCCGCACTTCTCCAGATGACTTCAGGACGGGAACAACTGGAGTGGCCCATTGTGAGTACTTCACTCTCTCAATAATATCTTCCTTTTCCATTCTATCAATTTCTTCCTCCACCTTTTCTTTCAGCGCAAGTGGTACTGTGCGAGCTTTGCAGAATACTGGATGGGAGTCTGTTCTGACATCTAATGTCACTGTGCATTCCTTGAGATGTCCTAGACCTTCGTCAAACACTTCCAGGAATTCTGTGAACAGTTGACCAATGCTGTCTTGGCCCATCCCCGAAGATTTGATGTTGTGTGTTGAGAGAACACTTTTCCAAGGTTCCATGTACTTCAACCAGTTTCTTCCTAACAACGATGAGCCATTCCCGTCCACCACCACTAGAGACAGTGTTCTGATCTCTGGCTCCGTGTCAACCTTCACACTTAGTTTTCCCAATACTGGAATGTTAGTTCCTAGATATGCTTCTAGTCTGCATGTGCTTTCAGTCAATGGCATGTTTGGAAATGTTGACTTGTAGACTTCCTTATTGACTAAGGTAACACCTGACCCTGAATCCACCTCAAACCTCATTGGCTTTTCATTTACCATCACAGTCTTCTTCCACTTTCCAGTACCTCCTTCCTGCAGTACAGAAGAAATCATGAACAGTTCCTCAAACACATCTTCATGTTCTGCTTCCACGTCTGGCTCCTCAACATCAATGTGATGAGTAGATTTCTTAGGATTACCCTTGGGCTGTTTCCTTTTTGTATCCTCTGTTTTAGCGCTCCGGCACGCACGGAAGATGTGTCCAACCTTTCTATAGTTATTACATTTGGCTGAAATGTAAGGACAATTTGGTGGCAGATGTTCTGTCGAGTTGCACCTTGTGCATGGTTTGTACTTGTCACCTTTAATTTTGTTTCTTGGTGGTCCAGTTCTCTGAGATGTTGACAACTTGTTGACTGAGGAGGTGCTGCCTTGAATCGCCTTGGCTTCCTTGTTGGCTGTTTCCATCGACAACGCTATTTGATAGGCTGCTTGGAATGTCATTGTAGCTTTCTCCTGTAACAACCGTCGTCTTATTGCTTCACTGTACACCCCGGCAACAAATCTGTCTCGTAACCACATTGTCAAATGTCCATCATAATTGCAATCTTCTGCAATTCTGCGCAGGTTAGCCACAAACGTATTTATGCCTTCATCTGCTCTCTGAACTGTCCTATTGAATGTACAGCGAGCTGTAATAACGTTAGGAGGGGGGTGAAGATGTTGTGAAAGTTTGTCTATTACATCCTTAGATGTTTGATCACTTACTTTCGCTGGTGAAAATAAGTCACGTGCCAATTTGTGCAGTTCGTCTCCCATGGACGAAATAAATATGTGAATAATTCTTTGGTCATCCACTATATTATTTGCCGTCATGCTCGATTGGAAACGTTCAGCATACGTTGGAAAATCTTCCTTCGTACCTGAAAATTTGGGAACAGGCACACAAAAAGTGGTGACTGGTGCTGTTTCGTCATTCTCCATGACGAATATAAACGCACAGCCTGATAAATTATCCTTATCGTAATAAGAATAAAAAGTCCAAATCAGGAACACGTGGTTTCACTGTTTGAATGTCACACTGGCCTATTTCCACGCTGCTTTGATCCGTAGATCGTTAAAAACGTTTAAAGAACTCGTAGTTCAACTTGCCGTAGCTTGTTAGCGGGATCCCATCCTCGTCGCCAATTATTCTGTTGTGTATTTGAATCTTATACACAAGGCCGTGGCCGAACAGAACACAAAATACCATGACTTCTACGTTGAGCGTTTACTCAGGAAGTGGGGGTTACAAGCAGGGGTCCCCAAGGGACGAAACTCTAATCAGCTTGCCGCTACCGTCACATAAGGCTGCAGGAGTTGTCTCCCATACATGTATCTGCCACACAAGCCCATACACTACATATAATGTCTTCACTTGACGAGCTATGTGTGACAGGGCAAGTATAATGTCTTCACTCGACGAGCTATGTGTGAGAGGGCAAGTATAATGTTTTCACTTGACGAGCTATTTGTGACATGGCAAGTGTAATGTCTTCACGTGACGAGCTAGGTGTGACAGGGCAAGTGTAATGTCTTCACTTGACGAGCTATGTGTGACAGGGTAAGTATAATATCTGCACTTGACGAGCTATGTGTGACGGAGCAGGTGTAATGTCTTCATTTGACGAGCTATGTGTGACAGGGTAAGTGTAATGTCTTCACTTGACGAGCTATGTGTGACAGGGCAAGTGTAATCTCTTCACTTGACGAGCTATGTGTGACAGGGCAAGTGTAATGTCTTCACTTGACGAGCTAGGTGTGACAGGGCAAGTGTAATGTCTTCACTTGACGAGCTAGGTGTGACGGGGCAAGTGTAATGTCTTCACTTGACGAGCTAGGTGTGACAGGGCAAGTGTAATGTCTTCACATGACGAGCTATGTATGACAGGGTAAGTGTAATGTCTTCACTTGACGGGCTAGGTGTGAGAGGACAAGTATAATGTCTTCACTTGACGAGCTATGTGTGACAGGGTAAGTGTAATACCTTCACTTGACGAGCTATGTGTGACAGGGCAAGTATAATGTCTTCACTTGACGAGCTATGTGTGACAGGGCAAGAATAATGTCTTCACTTGACGAGCTATGTGTGACAGGGCAAGTATAATGTCTTCACTTGACGAGCTATGTGTGACAGGGCAAGTGTAATGTCTTCACTTGACGTGCTAGGTGTGGCAGGGCAAGTATAATGTCTTCACTTGACGAGCTATGTGTGACAGGGCAAGTATAATGTCTTCACTTGACGTGCTAGGTGTGACAGGGCAAGTGTAATGTCTTCACTTGACGAGCTATGTGTGACAGGGCAAGTATAATGTCTTCACTTGACGAGCTAGATGTGACAGGGTAGGTGTAATATCTTCACTTGACGGGCTAGGTGTGACAGGAAAAGTATAATGTCTTCATTTGACGAGGTATGTGTGACAGGGCAAGTATAATGTCTTCACTTGACGAGCTATGTGTAACAGGGCAGGTATAATGTCTTCACCTGACGAGCTATGTGTGACAGGGCAAGTATAATGTCTTCACTTGACGAGCTATGTGTGACAGGGCAAGTATAATGTCTTCACTTGACGAGCTATGTGTGAGAGGGCAAGTATAATGTCTTCACTTGACGAGCTATGTGTGACAGGGTAAGTGTAATATCTGCACTTGACGAGCTATGTGTGACGGAGCAGGTGTAATGTCTTCATTTGACGAGCTATGTGTGACAGGGTAAGTGTAATCTCTTCACTTGACGAGCTATGTGTGACAGGGCAAGTATAATGTCTTCACTTGACGAGCTAGGTGTGACAGGGCAAGTGTAATGTCTTCACTTGACGAGCTAGGTGTGACGAGGCAAGTGTAATGTCTTCACTTGACGAGCTAGGTGTGACAGGGCAAGTGTAATGTCTTCACTTGACGAGCTATGTATGACAGGGTAAGTGTAAAGTCTTCACTTGACGGGCTAGGTGTGAGAGGAGAAGTATAATATCTCCACTTGACGAACTATGTGTGACAAGACAAGTATAATGTCTTCACTTGACGAGTTAGGTGTGACAGGACAAGTATAATGTCTTCACTTGACGAGCTATGTGTAACAGGGCAAGTATAATGTCTTCACTTGACGAGCTATGTGTGACAGAGCAAAGATAATGTCTTCACTTGACGTACTATGTGTGACGCGGCAAGTATAATGTCTTCACTGGACATGCTATGTGTGACAGGGCAAGTATAATATCTCCACTTGACGAGCTATGTGTGACAGGACAAGTATAATGTCTTCACTTGACGAGCTAGGTGTGACAGGACAAGTATAATGTCTTCACTTGACGAGCTATGTGTAACAGGGCAAGTATAGTGTCTTCACTTGACGAGCTATGTGTGACAGGGCAAGTATAATGTCTTCACTTGACGAGCTAGGTGTGACAGGGCAAGTATAATGTCTTCACTTGACGAGCTATGTATGAGAGGGCAAGTATAATGTTTTCACTTGACGAGCTATGTGTGACAGGGCAAGTGTTATGTCTTCACTTGACGAGCTAGGTGTGACAGGGCAAGTGTAATGTCTTCACTGGACATTCTAGGTGTGACAGGGCAAGTATAATATCTCCACTTGACGAGCTATGTGTGACAGGACAAGTATAGTGTCTTCACTTGACGAGCTAGGTGTGACAGGACAAGTATAATGTCTTCACTTGACGAGCTATGTGTAACAGGGCAAGTATAGTGTCTTCACTTGACGAGCTATGTGTGACAGGGCAAGTATAATGTCTTCACTTGATGAGCTATGTATGACAGGGCAAGTATAATGTCTTCACTTGACGAGCTATGTGTGACAGGGCAAGTGTAATGTCTTCACTTGGCGAGCTATGTGTGACAGGGGGAGTGTAATGTCTTCACTTGACGAGCTATGTGTGACAGGGCAAGTGTAATGTTTTCACTTGACGAGCTCGTATACAGAAGTTGAGATCCATTGATTGTCATCTTTTATTTGTATCACTTCTAAATGCCGTTCGAAGACTTTTCATAGATACTCTTATTTAAGATAGATCGATGTCAAGATGACGGTGAGGTTCAGCCTATAGAAAGAATGTGTAAAGTGAGTAAATGGATGACGTCATTACTATCAATACCGATGTTGTACAAAACTGTATATATTGTTCGTATATACTCTTTGATAAAAATAGGGGAACTTCATTTTTAATTTACCATTAAACAAGATTGGGAGAAATATCGGAGTCACTCATAGTTGATGTTTGGGGATGGCCTAAAAGGGCCGGGCCAAGGTGGGCCAACTGTAATATTGGCTAATAAACCCATTATCGTAAACCATGCCTACAATTAATGAATGCAACATACACTCATGATAATACTGATCAACCAGAAGCCTCTAACGCGTACCATAATCACTTTATTGCGAGTAAACCGCTTAAAACTTAAGAAGACGAGCGGTCTGTGACCATGGCTGACCAAGGTTTCGTCTAAAAGAGGAATCGGTAAACGACTGACTGACTGACTGAGTTTGGTTTTACGCCGCTTTTAGCAATATTCCAGCAACATCACGGCGGGGGACACAAGAAATGGGCTTCACACGTTGTACCCATGTAGGGATTCGAACCCGGGTCTCCGGTGTGACGAGCCAACGCTTTAACCATTAGGCTACCCCACCGCCCCAATCGGTAAACGAAACAGGGTTTAAAACGTATAAATACTTTGAACAGTCAATCCCAATAAACATTTCTTTCGAACCGAAGATGTTTTTACATCTATATCCAATCAAATAACACTCTAGAAGGTCACTGTACATTTTATGTAAAGCATGCCTATCTGCAAATGAAACTATCTCTTCCCCACACTCTGAGCATAATATCCACCACTATTGTTCGGTCAGGTTTGGCTCGGCCCTCAAAAGCAGCTTAAACCTCATACATGTACCCTGAATTGTGTTTAAATTCATAGATTAGTGTTGTATCTACCTAAATATCCCTTTGTAATGTTACAAAATGCCACATGTCAAGATAACTGGTCTGTTCAAGTTAAGCACGTGTCTCTCTCCATTCCGAAAATAGCCTCAATCAAAAGTGTTAAGTCTCTGTTCGGCCCGACTTGGCCCGAGCTGTCAAAAACAATTTAGATATTACACATGTATCCTAATTTGTGTTTATATCCATAGATTAGGATTATATCTACCTAAATACTTCTTTATACAGTCTCAAAGCGTAGCATAACATAAACATCCTGTGCTGATTCAGCACGAGACAATAAAGGTTAATTAGGGAACCCCAATATTTTAATTAAGGAAAGGAAAGAAGTCAAAACACTGTCACTTCCTGCCCAGGAATTCACACGCCACACGCTAAGAGAGTGAGTGAGTGAGTGAGCTTAGTTTTACTCCGCTGTTAGCAATATTCCAGCAATATCACGGCGGGGGACACCAGAAATGGGCTTCACACATTGTACCCATGTGGGGAATCGAACCCGGGTCTTCAGCGTGACGAGCGAACGCTTTAACCTCTAGGCTACACCACGCCCACACGCTAAGAGAAGTAAGTAACCTTCTCACATAGACATATCAAGGAAAACACACATCAAGACGGTATCTTTTCTGCGAGACTCTCGGTATGTAGTCATTGTTTTTGGGTTTTTTATCGTTCACTATACATTTTCAATCAATCTACATATTTGTGAAGGCAGGAAGTGTATTTACCCGAATGTCGAGATTTCTTTCTAATATTCTGCAATCCATTTTTAATAGTACCCGGCGGCCCGGTCCGGCCCGACTTTTCATGGCCCGACTTTTAGGCCATCTCTGTAATATGCCATGTGCACTTCTTTATGGCCATGGTTGTTTATACAGTAATCGCTCTTGAAAACATGACTTGTGTATGACGTGGCATGTGCACCATTTTCATTTTCAAATAATAAAAAACCCGGCTAAAAACAAACACTATCAACTGTGTGATGCAAGATGATTGTCAAAATTAATTGTCTTCAATGATTCATCGACCTTCTTGGAAACCGTCAAAATAGAAAAATGACACCCAATTCACGTGTATGAGCCTACTGCGTTGTGCACGTGCAGGCGATGTGTTGGGTTAAGGGGTGGTAATAAAGAGAAATGGTGGTGCGTTTTGTAAGATGTCCATTTCTTAACGCTTATACTTCCTATCCAAATTGAAAGTTCAGGTTCCCCTACTTTTTAAGAGTATACATTGGTATATGCTATGCTGATGGATATCGTGCAATGTTTTCTGGCAGATAAAGACCTATATGCCACCATCATCAATCGGGGTTGCAGATGGAGACGAATCCGAAATGATGCCTTTTCATCATCAGGTACCCATATGACGTCTCGGTGACACACTGACGCGGAAGCCTGGTAAGAAGACGCGTGATTGGCCGAGATCGTCAGATGACAGACCCGGACAATGCTGGGACGGTTTTGGAAGTACGGTTAGTGTGACTGAGGCCTGTCTACATTACCTAACATTGCACTGATTATAACACAGTTCTATAACAAATCGTAACACGGTGCGGTAACTAAACATATCCCACAGCAGGGGCGGATACAGCTTTTTGAGAAAGGGGAGTGGGGTGGGGTGGGGGTGGGGGGTGTGGTGCACACTATTGGGAAAAGGGAGGGTGCACAATTCATTTTCACCCGAGTTTCAATGGTCATTTAATAAACTTTCAGTACAAAGGGTGTGTGTGTGTGGGGTGTGTGCGCACCCGTGCACCCTCCCTCTGGATCCGCCTATGCACAGTACCTGACACTGTCTTAGAAGAGGCTATGCCTAATTACACCACACACACAGCTCAGTGAGTGAGTATGGTTTTACGCCGCTTATAGCAATATTCCATCAATATCACAGTGGGGGACACTTGAAATGCGCATGACACATTGTATCCATGTAGGGAAATGAACCCGGGTCTTCGGCGTGACGAACGAACGCTTTTACCACCAGGCTACCCTACCACGCCGTTCAGTAAGTAGTTTTACCATCGTGATGTACAAATGCAGTGGCAGTATGGCCATGTTTACCAAATGTACATCTTCTGCTGTAAGTAACTGTACCACCATGGTAAAGCTAATGTACTCCCACAAGCAGTTGACAACACGTTATATAAATGACATACTCCCACGAGCAGTTGACAACACGTGATATAAATGACATACTCCCACAGGCAGTTGACAACACGTGATATAAATGACATACTCCCACAAGCAGTTGACAACACGTGATATAAATGACATACTCCCACAGGCAGTTGACAACACGTGATATAAATGACATACTCCCACAAGCAGTTGACAACACGTGATATAAATGACATACTCCAACAAGCAGTTGACAACACGTGATATAAATGACATACTCCAACAAGCAGTTGACGTGATACAAATGACATATAGCAGTTGAAATGATATACTCCAACAAGCAGTTGACAACACGTGATATAAATGACATACTCCAACAAGCAGTTGACAACACGTGATATAAATGACATACTCCAACAAGCAGTTGACAACACGTGATATATATGATATACTCCCACAAGCAGTTGACAACACGTGATATATATGATATACTCCAACAAGCAGTTGACAACACGTGATATAAATGACATACTCCAACAAGCAGTTGACAACACGTGATATAAATGACATACTCCCACAAGCAGTTGACAACACGTGATATATATGATATACTCCCACAAGCAGTTGACAACACGTGATATATATGATATACTCCAACAAGCAGTTGACAACACGTGATATAAATGACATACTCCCACAAGCAGTTGACAACACGTGATATAAATGACATACTCCTACAAGCAGATATAAATGTTGACAACACGTGATATATATGATATCCCACAAGCTCGTGATATAAAGACAGTACTCCCACAAGCAGTTGAACACGTGATATAAATGACATACTCCCACAAGCAGTTGACAACACGTGATATAAATGATATAAATGACAGTTGACAACACGTGATATAAATGACATACTCCCACAAGCAGTTGACAACACGTGATATAAATGACATACTCCCACAAGCAGTTGACAACACGTGTGATATATACTCCCACAAGCATGACGTGATATAAATGACTACCCACAAGCAGTTGACAACACGTGATATAAATGACATACTCCCACACAGTTGAAGCAGTTGACAACACGTGATATATATGACATACTCCCACAAGCAGTTGACAACACGTGATATATATGATATACTCCCACAAGCAGTTGACAACACGTGATATAAATGACATACTCCTACAAGCAGTTGACAACACGTGATATATATGATATACTCCAACAAGCAGTTGACAACACGTGATATAAATGACATACTCCCACAAGCAGTTGACAACACGTGATATAAATGACATACTCCAACAAGCAGTTGACAACACGTGATATAAATGACATACTCCCACAAGCAGTTGACAACACGTGATATAAATGACATACTCCCACAAGCAGTTGACAACACGTGATATATATGATATACTCCTACATCCAGCTGAAAACCCGTGACATGACTTATATTCTCCCCATAAAGCTGACAACCATTGATGTAACTGATATACGCCAACATTCAGCTAAAACCAAGGTATAACTGATATGCTCCCGCATAGTGTAAACATATTTTATTCAAAATACATTGAGGTGAGGTGACGTGAAATTGGGTTTTACGTCGTGCTTGAGAATATTTCGCTCATATGACGACGTGCATGCATGTGTATGTGTATGTGCGGCTGCTTGTAATAGCCCAGACTTAAGCTGGTTTTATTGTGCTAGCCCACTAAGATACCATACCGCAGTGAAGCATGAATACCCCACTCAGACACATTATACTGATTCCGAGCCGACCAGTCCTTGTTGTACCCATTAATGCCGAGCGCCAAACAGGACCAACAAGTACCATATTTTAACGTCTTTTTGGTATGACGCGGTCGGGGGTCGAACCCGCGACCTTCCGCTCTCCGGGCGGACGCTCTAACCACTACACCACGGAGGCGGTCAAAATACATTAAACAAGGATGGGTAAACAAGCCGTAATGAATATTTGAATACCTCTCCATTACATTAATACATGAATACATCATTATTATACTACTATAAAAATCATAATAATAATAATTATCATACTAGCATGTTAGGAAAGCAAACAGCTTGTGTATTGAACATCATCAATCATTTATCAAACCTATGCGAATTTATTTTCAAAGTATGGACAGATGTTAGTATAAAAGAATGTATATGTTTGTTTTTGTTTGGATTTCCGTTTAAGACAGAATATAAATTATATCCATGTACATAAAAATACATGTGATATCTGATGTTTGGATAATTAGGACAAGTAAAGAAGTAATGTAATGTATCCTCAAAGGGGTGACCACAGGAGCAGAATGGATCAACTGAAATGTGCCGTTCAAACATGTGCGCTTTCAAATCACTGCACCCAAGTCTGAGGCGTGAGCGGATAATTTGGCAGAAACGTGTACCAAAGCTTTAATCAAATATTTTAAAATTAAGTGGTTTTGATGATTGTAATACATTTTTGAACTGGCCTTTAGTTTCAATATCATGCATATTCTCAGGCACATCATTCCATTGTCTTATTGTATCCGGTAACAACGAATTGCTGTACAAATCACTGCGACATCTTATAGTTTGAATGTTATTACTGTTTCTTAATCTATGGTCACTTAACTGTGTCAGGTAGTAGATCAGTTAAATAAACTGGTGTGATATGATGAACTATTTTGTACAGTAATGATAATTTGCTAATTTGTCTACGGTCGACTAGGGGCATGGAGTTAGTTTCCTTATAAATTAAATCATGACTTGTTCCTCTAACGGCCCCGCAAATCGTCCGCAGAGCATCTAAATGAAGATTTTCAACAATTGTATCTTGTTCTTTAGTACAAGTATCCCAAAGGTGCGAACAGTAATCGAACATTGGTAATATATATGACTTGTACATTTGCTATAATGATTTTCTAGACAATCCATATTTAAAACAAGGAAGACAATTTACCAATGGACGAACCTTTTTGACTAATTCATCAATATGAGAGTTCCATTTACAATCTGATTGCAAGGTTACTCTTAGGTGTTTATGGTAGCCGACTTCAGTAATGTCTACTCATTGCATTTTAAGCTTAGGAATTGGAAATTGATTACCGGTATTTCTGCGAGTGAATAAAACAGCTTCAGTCTTACCAGGATTACAGCTAACCTGCCATTTTTCAGCCCAGTGAGAGATCCTGTTAAAGTCATCATTTTAGGAAGCAGCAGTAGAACATGATTATCAACAATAACATATACCGAAGTATCATCGGCAAAAAGACGAATGTTACTTTTGATACCCTCAATGATATCATTTATGTAAACTAAAAACAGTAATGGCCCAAGGACAGATCCTTGTGGCGCCCAAGCAGTGACTTTCTTTAGATCTTGATTGTAATTGTCTATAGTTACTCACTGTAATCTATTATCAAGATAACAGGAAGATCAATCAAGTAACTTACCCTTAGTAACATAATCTGCTAATTTCACTATGATTCCCTTATGCCAAACCTTTTCAAATGCCTTGCTTATGTCACAGAAACTGCCCTGACTTCTTTGCCATGGTCTAATGCACGTAGTATAAAAATCATACAAGTATGTCAGTTAATATACAGTACCATCCCAAGGCATGAATCCTGAGTGCAAATTGGTCAATACATTATTATCTAGAAAAAAATGTTAAACACATATTTAAAAACACATTTTTCAAATACATTTGATAAGCAGCTGGCGAGAGCTAATGGTCTGCAATTTTAAAACTACTTTTTTATGAATAGGAATGACAGTAGCCTACTTCCACATTGTTGTAAAATTACAATATTCTAATGATAAACTGAATAGATTTGTAAGAGGAATAAAAAGGGACGAAACAATCATTTTGATAATATGTTACCTATTTTGTCTGGTCCACTGGCGTTGGAAGCTGGATGTGGAGGTCATATAACTGATATAGTCCCACATCCAACTGACACACTGTGATATAACTGATATACTGTCACATCCAGCTGACACACTGTGATATAACTGATATATTCCTACATCCAACTGACACACTGTTAAATAACTGATGTAGTCCCACATCCAACTGGCACACTGTGATATAACTAATATACGTCCACAACCAACTGACACTCTGTGATATAACTGATATACTCCCACATCCAGCTGACACACTGTGATGTAACTGATATACTCCCTCACCCAGCTGACATACCGTCATATAACTGATATAGTCCCAAATCCAGCTGCAACACTGTGATATAACTGATATACTCCCACATCCAGCTGACATACTGTGATATAACTGATATACTCCCACACCAAGCTGACACACTGTGATATAACTGATATAAACCCACGTGCATCTGACACACTGTGATATAACTGATATAAACCCACATGAAGCTTACACACTGTGATATAACTGGTATACTCCCACATCCAGCTGACACACTGTGATATAACTGATATACTCCCACATCAAGCTGACACACTGTGATATAACTGATATACTCCCACATCAAGCTGACACACTGTGATATAACCGATATACTCCCACATCCAGCTGACACACAATGATATAACTGATATACTCCCACATCGAGCTGACACACTGTGATGTAACTGATATACTCCCTCATCCAGCTGACACACTGTGATATAACTGATATAAACCCACATCAAGCTGACACACTGTGATGTAACTGATATACTCCCACATCAAGCTGACACACTGTGATATAACTGATATAAACCCACGTGCATCTGACACTCTGTGATATAACTGATATAAACCCACATCAAGCTTACACACTGTGATATAACTGGTATACTCCCACATCAAGCTGACACACTGTGATATAACTGATATACTCCCACATCAAGCTGACACACTGTGATATAACTAACTCACTAAGATATAGCAGGCAGTGTGTTAACAGGGGTGCTCTTCCCAACTCTCTCACTCTCTGCATGAAGGTTGTACATATCTGAGTTGACACACATTTGCTCACATACCCAATTGTATCAAGGGTTGTGGCAAGTCGGTGCCTTGTTTTCCGTTCACTGATACCCAGTCACATGATATGTGTTTCAGGTGCGGGGGGCCTTGCGGTGTACCTGGTAATGGTATACAGCTACCTTGCCTACCGACACATGTTTCCTGTAACTCCTGTTACCATGACAGCCGCTGTAGAAGGATTGAGAGCTCCAACAACGCAAGTTGCAGCGTCAAGGTCGTCTCGAGGGACGGGAGCTTTTAGTTTTCGTAATACGAGAAAAACTTTTCAAAAGAAAACGAAAACTCAAACCAAAAAGACTTCCCAAGACAAGAAGATTATTCAAAACGAAAAGACACCTCGAGGCAAGAAGACTATTCAAAACGAAAAGGCTCAACAAGTCAAAAAGACTATTCAAAATAGATCGACTACTCAAAACAAAGCCAAGATTCGCACGGCTAGTGATGCTACTGGTATAAATACACCAGGTAGTGCAGCACCCACGACAAGTGCACATATCCTTTCGTCAACCATGAAGCAAACGCGGAAATTGAAAGAAATGCCCGTTCTAACGCCTGTATTTAAAGGTCGCCTTGGCAACCAATTATTTGAATATGCCGCATCGTTCGCTATTGCCAAAATGAAGAACATGTCGTTGTTTATTCCTGAGGGCAACGTCATCAACAAATTATTCCACGTAGATACAACGGTTGTGACATTTCACGGGTGCAGTAGCTGGCGACGTGTGCTGGTTGAATGTTGTGGCTACAATTCCAATCTCATCGCTAAAATAAACAAAAGTGAATGTCAAGCGATCGGACTCTATCTCCAGTCATGGAAGTATTTCAAACCGGTCGAAGCAAGCATACGGCAACAGCTGACATTCAAACGAAACATAGCCCTTGTTGCTAACAGGAAACTGCTATCACTCACACAGGAGTTCCTGAAGAGACAGTCTGGCTGGCCGACAGGCAAGGACGGTGACCAGGGCAACTGGACTTCCACACACGTGGGCATACCCACCACGCCAACAGGTGGAGACACCAATTCCTCTCTGCTACATCCGAGAAACGCTGATCACCCCAAGAAAACACAGAAGAAACACGTTCTTGAGGCCGGTGCTGATGACGTAGTTTCAAATCTGACCTACATTGGGATTCATGTCAGACGTGGGGACTACATGTCACCACAAAGTAGACGCCAGGGACGTATCACTCCTCCGGCGAAATACTACATCCATGCAATGAGGTATTTCCGAGCTATATTCCCCAACACGTTGTTTGTTGTTTTGGGGGATGACGGAAGTTGGGTGAATCGTAATATCGGCGCACCGGATGTTGTTGTAGTGCAGAGGGACTCGGAGGCAGTGGATCTCTGCGTATTGAGCATGTGTAACCATACTATATTAAGTGTCGGGTCTTTTGGTTGGTGGGCTGGGTTTCTGGCAGGGGGGACAACCGTGTATTATAAACATCCGTACCGAAACAACACGGATATGTCCAGATGGTATAGCAACTTCCACAGCGACTATGTACTTCCGGACTGGGTACCCATGGACTAAACAACATTCATGCAGTATGTGTTCACGTGAGAGTGGTCTGATCAGTGACATACAAGCGACACGTGACAGAACATAACGCGGAACTAAAACATATATGCAAGGCTGTTATAGTTTAGGAAGAACATTTGCTTTCAGTTACGTCAATCTCGTAACATACTTCAAGGAGATTTCTTCTATTTGTGTCGTTTGTCATTAACGTTCGCTGTCAATTTGCCTGACAACCTGAAATATATATATTAAAAAAGTCCACGTAGGATGTTTCGCATTTTGCCCTTTGGGCATTAGAAAACCAGGAAGTGGGGATTGTGGCTAGATTTTATTGACGCTTCTTTCGGCTATTTCGTTCATCAGCAAGCTAATGAGCGAAATAGCTGAAAGAAGAGTCAGTAAAATCTAGCAACAACCCCCACTTCCTGGTTTTCCAATGCACAAAGAGCAATGCGCTTGACTTTTTGACCACAACAAAGTCTTCAACATTTTCCAGTTATCTCTCCTTTTGTATATTCCTGTATATATTGCTTTGTTTGACTGTGCGTTCCTGTTTTTTAAAATCTAGCAAAAAAACTCGACTTCCTGGTTTTCCAATGCCCAATTTGTTGTTGAGTTCGGTTTTACGTCACATCGGCGTAATTGCAGCCATATAGTGACGAGATCAAGTTGGAGTTTTACAAATTTTAAATACAAAGTCCAAAAAGGAGTTGTTTTTAACATATATATTCATTACATTACTATTTACAAGTGAAAAATGACACAGCACCAAACTCAAAAACAAGCAATCTGTGACTCACATTACATAGTTATAATTTGTGGTACAGGTCAACTTCCTTCAGGTGTCTAACAATCAGATGCCCGCTCACGAGGGGAACAGATCTTTCAGATTTATCGCTTCATAATGTGAATCTCTTGCAGTCGAAAAGTCCACGCAGTTAAGCAGTATATGCTTGATGGTGAACACTTTGAGGTGAGGTGAAATTGGGTTTAATGTCGTGCTTGAGAATATTTCGCTCATATGACGACGTGCATGCGTGTGTACGTGTAGGTGTGGCTGCTTGTACTAGCCCAGACTTAAGCTGGTTTTATAGTGCTAGCTCACTGAGATACCATGCCGTAGTGAAGCATGAATACCCCACTCAGACAGATTATACTGACTCCGAGCCGACCAGTCCTTGTTTTACCCAATAATGCCGAGCGCCAGGCAGGGACCAACAAGTACCAATTTTAACGTCTTTTGGTATGACGCGGTCGGGGATCGAACCCGCGACCTTCCGCTCTCCGGGCGGACGCTCTAACCACTAAACCACGGAGGCGGTCGGTGAACACTTTGAACATCGGGACATCCCCATCCGTTTTCAGCATGAGTAAACCGACTGTGGCCAATACGACATCGTCGTAAAATTACCTCACTACGTCTTGACTGACAACCCAAGTAGGTATAACCAATTGCTGGCTTTCCAATGCCCAAAGAGCAATGCGCTTTTGGTTAAAACTGGGACTCCGGCAGTTTGTTTACCAGTCTGACTGTGCCAGGATCGCGCGAACCCTTTCTGCTACATCATCATGATTTCAGGAATCCAGCACATAAACGCACACTATCTTATACATTAAACAGAATAACTCTTCACACACAAAACTGCGGCAATGGCAGTCGTACTTTCAAATCATCTTAACTGCACCACAGAAATATTTGAATGGGTGTTTTACAAATGCATTATATACAATATATGCACATAATAACTATGATAGGATCATGGCGATTCCAGAACACTGATTGTTGTGACCGTAGACCTAAGGACAACTGAGCTACGGACTGTTAAAGAGGGAACTATTTCTTCTCCAGAACTTCTTAAAAAAAAGGTACATGACCCCGCGACCCCGGCTGCATTTCACCGATCTGCTCTCGTGTCAAAACCGTGTTCTGCCTGCGTTTTGGACGGTTTCTAGCCCTTAAATACACTTCAAACACTCGTAACTCACTACAATAATAAGTTGGTTTCCGGAACACTGAAACTGAGAAGAAACGACATGGAAACCACCATTTCCAGTTGGTTTCCATATAGTTTCCAAAAGTTTCATTGTGGTTTGCATGAAAACTGAAACTGAATTTTGCACGATTTCCGGCTGGTTTCCAGTGCGATTCATTACCCACTCCTCCAAACCGGATCCAGCTGGTTTCCGTGTTTTCGTTTATTGTAGGTTTCAACCTGGTTTCCGTGTTTTCGTTTATTGTAGGTTTCAACCTGGTTTCCGTGTTTTCGTTTATTGTAGGTTTCAACCTGGTTTCCGTTTTTTCGTTTATTGTAGGTTTCAACCTGGTTTCCACGTTTTCGTTTATTGTAGGTTTCAACCTGGTTTCCATGTTTCCGTTTATTGTAGGTTTCGACCTGGTTTACATGTTTTAGTTTGTTGTAGGTTTCACCCTGGTTTACATGTTTTAGTTTGTTGTAGGTTTCACCCTGGTTTACATGTTTTAGTTTGTTGTAGGTTTCAACCTAGTTTCCAAGTTATAACCTAGTTTCCATTAAAACTGAAACTACATTTTGCACCAGTATCTGGATGGTATCCATGTCGGGACTTTACCCACTCGTCCATGGAGGCTCCTGCTGGTGCTTAGTTTATTGTTGTTTCCAACCTAGCTCCCAGCTTATAACCTGGTTTCCATGAAACTGAATCTGTTGTGCCAGCCCCTTTACCCGCTCCTCCAGAAAAGAGGTTGTGTTTCATGCAACACACAAACCAAATCAGGTATTTTATACAATTGCACAATGGTAAAACCGTCAGGATGACAAATAACAGAATAAAACACAAACTCATGATAGGTTTATTTACATTCAACAATTTGCTGATAAACAAATGATATTTGGAATGTTCACATTAATAAAAACTGGAATTTTCAAAATGCATAAGTAATTAAAAGCAATAACGGAATAAATAGCAGTGAGTATGGAATGTTTTCCTAAACTCATCAATGTAGATGAATCCATATTATTTGGTTTTCCAATTTGAGAAATGTTAACTCTTTCCCCAAGACAGGGAGAACTTTCTGCTTTATCTTCTCCGGCCAATCAATCGTTGTCAGGACCTTCTTCCTGCTTTCCAGCTTCTGAAAGATAGAAAACAATAAACAATCAGTACAAACAAGCATTCGTAAACAATATCGCTAGCTGGAGAAAGGAAAACTGTCCAATGTTCCTTAAGCTTGAGAAAAATAAACTGTAACAATTGTCCAACAAGCACGAAGTTCAATAAATCAAAATTGATTATTTGACCTGAAAAGTGATAAAGGTTTCTTAAGAGTACTCCGAGAGTTGAAATGGACGCTCCAGCTGGCGTCCAAAGACACAGTACACGTAAAGGTAGCCACAGGGTAAGTATGGGGAAGTCTGAAGACCGTCAGTATTGCCCAGGTGGCAATCCTAGTTATTATTATTATTATTATTATTGTGTTTTACAGATTAAAGGTAGTATGCAGCAGAGAGGGTTCGGGTGATCCTGACAGAGTCAGGCTGGCAAGGCTCATCATCAGCTCAGGGCCCTCGCCCAATCTACACGCAGCCCAGACAGCGAATGGGACTTCTCCCAGGAAACGCTGCCTAGTCGAACCCACCAAGAACTTACCGGAGAATATAAAGGCTCCCCAACACTGCAGCCTTCTGCATTACCCAGAGTGTCAGAAGGGCTGTTCTCCCGGTGGAGAACCCGGGCACTCTGCTGATCTGCGCTAAGAGATCAGGAGGTACCAAACCAAGGGCACCGAGAACAATGGGGAGCCTGGCGACATTGTACTTTGGATGCAAGCGAGACATTTCAAAGACGGGGTCTGCATATTTATCATGCTTTTCCTGAATCTTGCCAATCACATTGGTGTCAAATGGGACAGAAAAATTCAATGATATAAATATATTCATTGGCTTTATCAAAAAGGACAAGATCAGGTTTGTTGGGCCTATTCCAGAGAAGTTTGAAAGCATCATTTTCCATGACGCCCTGGACATGTTCAGGGTCGAACCATGGATGGACCTCGGAGTCAAAGCCACAAGCATGTCGGAGACGGTAGTAAAAGCATCAAGCCATGCCGTCATGTCGTTTAAGATATGGTGTTTGTGCCAAGGAAGGGCATCTACTAACAAAGTGTTGGAGAGTCTCTGTAAATTCATTACACAGTCGACATTTCATATTGATATTTTCTTTAAGAATCACATTTTGGCGATTACGAGTGGGAAGTGACTGGTCCTGAGAAGCAAAAAAGAAGCCCTCAGTTTCACATTTGAGACCAGCCGACTTCATCCAGGCGAATGAGTCGGTTGGATTGCTATTCTGTTCCACACACTGCATGTACACACGATGCAATGTCTTCTCAGAAAGCCTCTCCACAAAAGACCGACTCTGGGCAGACTTGGTGAAGGACTTCATCTGGTTTTCCTCCCATAGCTGTACCGTCCAGCAGTACATCGCCATCAACAAAATCAACCTCAAATCTCAGATTCTGTCCAACAACCTTGGCACGCTAAAATAGCTGTGGAATTCCTTGCTTTCATCATGAGTCTTCACATGCATCACCAGAGGATCATCCAATAAATAAATATGTGCAAAAGTAAACAAAAGAATTCTATCATGAAGAGCCTCCACATTAATGAAACCCCGACCTCCAGAATTGATTGGCATATATAAACGGTTGAGAGAAGAACGAGGGTGGTTGGCTCTGTTATCAGACATGATCCTTCTGGTCAGGCGGTCAAGACTCTGGATATCTTGTTTTGTCCAATCATCTACTCCAAAGGAATAGGAGAGGACTGGCACAGCAAAAGTATTGGTGGCCTTGACCTTGTTTCAAGCATTTAGCTCTGAGCTCCAGATAAGCGAGATTTGTACTCTGCCCGAAGTTTGTCTTGATTTTGGGCATTCTGGAGCTTGTCTCGAACTTGCATTCAAAGATAGGTGTAGGCCTGATCTTCCACAAGATGCTCAATAAATCATGCCCCCAGTAACTTGACCGATCCACCATTAACTACCTTGCCACGTTTTAATGAAGAGTATTACATTTGTCGAGTCCAAATGTCATGCCAATATCATTAAAAAAGGACTCGACAAGGAGAACCTGTTCTTTCAAATTGGTATCTCCTTTAGCAAGGAGCTCGATGTCATCCATGTAAAGAAGATGAGTAAGTGATTTTGGGGATCTGTGCTGAGGAGGTCCAAGATGGTTACCCTCCTCTCTGTTGAGCAGAAAGCTCAAAGGATTTAGAGACAAACAAGAAAGCAAAGGTCTAAAGGAGTCCCCCTGGAAAAATCCCCTTCTGATTGGAACAGATACCGAAGTCTGCACCTGTCCTTGCGAGTACATCTCAAGTTGAGTCGACCAGCAACTCATTAAAGGCTTGAGTAAATCAAGTAGTCGCTCCGGGAGGTCAATACAACGAGACTTCAGAATCCATTCATGGGGGGCAGAGTCGTATGCT